TGTGGAGTCATTTAGTACTGAAATCCAAAATTGTGACCTCAAATTGTAACTCCTTAAAATTGAAGCTATCTGAAATCACCAAGACTTAATTTCTGTCAGAACAAAATCAATTTTTAGACGGATGATATATATGTGTATCTCCACAAATCTTGTTCACAGATATATTTTCAAAAAACAGAATGTCAGAGGACCACAGTATTTCAGCACAGCAGAAATATTCCTTTTCTGGTTTTCACCTCTGGTTCTGTTGCTCTGACCTGTTTATGAAATGCCATGAGATAATACAGGTCACTCCTATTTAAGAAAGGAGTGTCAGGGTAGACTTGATGATACTTCAGACTAAATTATTTTTCATGAGGTTTAATTTATGATGATAGGAGAGTCTCAGGGATTAAAGAGGACAATAGAGGAAAGACTCTGAAAAACAGTGACAAAAGTGTTCTCTTCAGCCTGTTTTAAATGCCTTGACTCAGGTTAGCATACTCGGTTTCAAACCTGGTCTGTTTTTGATTTTTTTTTTTGCTTTGCAGTTATGTCTGCAACTCCCCATAGTACCCACTCTGTTTCTGATTTGGGACTACAAAGCAAGTCATCAAACTGCAGCTGCAAAAACTGAGCTTTTATTTTGGCATATAGTTACCTGAGACTTACTGGTATGGTGAAGCTCAGTCAGGCAGTTTAGAAGAGAGTGCTTCTGACTGAGGTAAGAAGAGCTGTATTTAGCTCCCCTCAGCAGTGGATTCATTTTGCCTGTCACAAGTTTATGAGAACAAAACTATTTTTTCTCTCTCAGATTATGCAGGAGCATCTTTGCTGCATCTGAGTATCAGTCAAAGACCAATTGTTTCCACACAGACTCATTTATAAGTGCCTATGTACCAACATACAGATAAAGATAACTGATAGAAAAAGAGAACAGACATAATTTAAATGTGTATTTCTGTGTGCTTGCTTGTTTTCAATGATTAAAATAATGATTAGAAGGTGATAACTGCTAGAATGACAACAGCGTTGCTAAATAGTACTCCCAGTGATCTTATGGCAATAAAATTCTCTTGTCAGTTATGTACCATGAAAAAAATGAAAAAGAAGAATGTTTAACAACATGATACAAATAATAAAAAAAAAAAGTCTTCTTAGATATTGTTACCTCAAACCAAAACCTGACTGAAAGAGGAAAAAGAGTGTTTATTTGGTAAATGATACTAGAAAAGAATTAATTGTTATTAAAGTCATCTTTTTTTTTTTTTTGACTGCAGTGAAAACTTGGACCTTGATTTAAAATTTTCTGGCAAATTATTGCCAGCAATTCATTGTAAGAATAGATAATGATAAAGTGTTACTGAAAACTTTTAAAACACTTTATTAATTAAAAATTTTGGAAAAGCAGTAGAGAAAAGATATAAACCTGTATTGAAGTTCAGATTAAAGGAAATAAATTAATGTGGTTGGGGGTTTTATTGTTTTTTATTTGTTTGTTTGTTTGGTTGGTTGGTTGGTTGGTTTGTTTTATTATTGAGTTGTGTTTCCTGCAAAGAAATTCATTCTTTATGCAAATTGTGTGCCATAAGTGAAATCATATTTTCACCAATAGGGCCAGCATTTCAGACCCTTAGTGAAATGGTCAACACTTTGACAATGTCTCTTGATGGGGTTGAAATCAGTAACTGGGCAGTAAGTATTGCCTCTTCACTGAATCTGATGATGGGGGACCAGACTGTGTTCAAAGCTGATCAGGGATTTGGCCAGCTGACTCAGTCCTGCAGTGAATAATGTGTTCTGTCATTGCTCAGTGTGACTGTCAGCACTTCTATTTGGAATACGTTCATCAGAGAGGTATGGGACTTTCTACACTATAACATTGATTTCTTTCTAATAAGTGCTTTTATATTGCTACCTATTTATCATTTCTCTGTACTTCATATATATGTACCCTGAATAGCAAATTGGCAATAGAGAAAAAAAAAAAAAAGAAGGAAAAAAAGTCCTGTAAAATCGTCTGTACTTCATTGGTAGCTGTAGAATAAAGAAATAAAACTGTAAGATGAATTTGTGATTTTTACTATCTACTAGTTTGTATACAAATGTGTCTTCTAAATTTACTTTAAAACAAGAACAGAGCTTTTGCTTTTTAGTAAGACATGTGCTTTGTCTGCAAATGTTGCTAAGTTCAGTACCTTAATTTTTTCCCCCATGACATTTGCAAAGCACAAGTGGTAGACTTAGTAATGAGCTCTAATAATTCTTCACAGTTGAATTTATATGATTTAACACCTTGGCAATAGGAAAGATAGTAAAAAAAATTTTGGGGGTATTTTTATAACATTCACCTGAAGAAATTGATGAAAAAAGAAAATAGACAAAATGTATTTGGTATGTGTCAAGTAGTATGTTATGGTACTTACACTGTGAAATTAAATCAGTTCTTATTCTCCTACATAATCTTACTTGAAATTCAGATGCTTAGCAAGATAATCAGGAGAAACAGAGTAGCACAGATTAATACTTGTCACTCTATGTGTGTTCCATAAACAGAAATTACTGGGCAACGGAGTGAGCAGTAGGGTAAAACCACTTTCTTCAGGAATACCACTAGGTAGGGTGCCTTTAATGCTCTATCCATATTACTACAAGACCAGTGAAACTGAAAGCTGTCCTTAGATGTTTTTACAGCGTTTTATAAAGTGGACTTTTGGGTAGAAGAAGCTCCTCAGCTGCACTGGCAAACTGTTATTGTAGGTGTAAATAAGCAAATGTTGGGAACAGAAAAAGAAGTTACCCTAAGGAGTCTGTAGGACCGGCCTATCAGCATGACAGAGCAAAGGAAAACTGCATCGACAAGCATCAGCTAGAATTCAAGAAGAAAATGTTATGTTCTTTCAAAAATAATTATGACCATGGCACGATGCTCTTTTACAGAGAACACATTCATCTTTCAAGGCAGTGGTGGGAAAAGTCATATAGCTAATATAGCTAGTAAAAGGAGAGGTTTTTAAAATTCAAGCCACACAGTTTAACTAGCTTTCTACATGATCAGTTCTTTTCCTTTTGATTGCTTACTTCTGCATCAATGGCTTATATCAACTAAATTTTAATCTTCAGTGTCATTCCATAGTACTATTGACCCTGAAAATATTGACACATGTATTGCTTGAATAAAGTGCTGTGGATTTGGGTAGAGGGGGAAAAAAGGATATTGTTCAGGTTCTGCATATAAAGAATGGTGACCAGGAACTGTACTTCCAGTGTGCAGACTCCCAGTTGTGGAATTGGTGTCAGTTTTCTCCATCCCTTTTCGGAATTTCTATACAGCCACTAGCTGAGATGGGCAGACTGCTCAGGCTGGGTGGCACACAGTCATTCTTAGCCTGCATCACGTGTGGCTCCACACTAGCTCACAAAATTGCCTAGAGCACACAGAAGGTCAGCTCATGGATGAATGACAGCTGGCTAAGGCTGAACTCAGATGAACTTGAATCTGTTGTGAATTCATGCCCTAGTTTTGTTTTCTACTTGGATTCTTCATCAATACTAGGCTTTCCCTCAGCAAATACAGGAGGAATGCTCAGTTCTCTTTGTTCTTAGTAGGAAAGCAATCCTCAGGTGTTTTACTTCTGACTGCTGCTGGTTGAACCGTAGCAATAAGCTATGTCTGAAGCCCTGTGTGCTTAAAAATTTCTAGTGCAGAACACTGAAATTAATATTCTCAGAAACAAAAGACCTGGGCTAATTTTCCACACTACTTCCTGTGTTTCTCATCTATTGGCAAAAATTTTCTCAGACACAGAGGTCAATACCAAACCTAGTCTACTTGCAAGAAAATGGATTCTTCTCACAAGTGGTGGAACAGAAAGAAAATGGAGGGAAGGCTCCCTGGGGAGTGAGGGTAGGGAACAGACAACTGCAGAGACCACACATAATTTTGGATCCAGGCTGAGTTTTGTGATTAAAACACAGTTGCAAATAGACAAATCTCATTTGGTTTGTAGGTCTGTTAAGATTAATTAAAAATCAGCATTTTGCTGTGAATAATCTTTACAACTACATTATTTTCTGAAAAGTAACTGAAAAGAAACATAGCACTTTGTAAAATCGGAAGAAATAATCATTTGGATTTTAGAAAATGAGCAAGCCACCAAAAACAAGTGCTAGTAACTTTGTCAGAAGCCAAAAACAGTAAGAAAATCTTGTCCACAGTTAAAAATTAATTAAAATAATGATTTTCATTAAATCCTCTGAAAGACATAAGAACATCCAAACTAACCAATATCTCATTATCCAGCAGAGATATTACTAACGAGACTGTACACCAGAAAGAGACACTGTGGTTTTTACTTATACTGTTCTTTTCTCTCCCTTCTTGGGTGTTTTTGTCTTGTTTCATCTTCAGGAAAATATGATTAAACTCCACTAACAAAAGCTCAAAATGCGCTCTCATCATTCTTTGAACTAATTTTTTCTTGAACAAGAGTGATTATTACGTTCTTCAGTGCTCTCTACAAGAAACATCCCCCAAAACAAGAGGAAAGGGTTCTGAAGAGAAAATTTTACAGATAAGTGTAAAAGTTATACATGATTTATCTTTTTTTTTTTTTTTTATTTCTGTTGTATCTGTAGTAAAGATTTTAAATGTATTTGTTGTTAATAGTGATAGTTTGCTAGCAGCCAGCCTCATCAATGTCTGTAATTGATAGATATGCCCAAACTTGCTTACTGTTTGATACTATACATACTTGTTGATTATATGGATGCTATTTTCATTAAAATTTTCATAGTATCTGCAACTTGTAGCATTTTCTTACCTAGAATTACACATTTACCACTCTAGTTCCCCTATAGCCTTTGTCAGAGCAAATTATTGTGTCATAGTGAGAGGATTTCTGTTGTAATTCTACTGAATTTTGAAGATTGTAACTCTTGCATTTATAATATAAAGTTCATATCCCAATGTTCACAAGTTCTCAGGAATTAAAAACCTCTGCTTTTAATAGTATGGGAATGTATACATGTACACACATGCACATCTGTAATTACATAATTATAAATAATTTTAGATAGACAGCTTCATAAATACCTGTGTACATAAGTATATCTCTATAATTATGAAACAGAAAGAAATCTCTGTCTTTAACCCTTTACAACAAAATTTCTTATTGAAACCAAATTCTATTTCATGTAGTTCTTCATTCGGAGCAAACGTACTACCGAGTGAGAAACAGCATTTGACTTCCAGTTTCTGTATTTCAGATGACAGTATAAACATATAGTCAGTTTGACAATAATTGCAGTAATCTTCCTTTGAGACATTGCAGCAAATCGGATCTGCTTGTATAGTTGTGATTATTATGCAAAAAGGTTAACTATCAAACTCCAATTACTCCTACATAACTATGTATTTCTGTATATATATTTCTGTTTACCCAGTTGCAAATGAATCGTTGCAATCAGGGTATTTTGTGTGATCTTAAATTAGTCTGTCCTCATTATTTAAAATGTTGGGGCTATAGTTTTATGACACAAACTGTCCTCTACTTTGCCTTGGCAGGTTCAGTTCATTAAAACCGTGTTATCATCATGACCTATTCAAGTCAATAATCCTTGGTACCAGTAAAACAGAGTACTCATCTCTCACCCTCAGCAGTACTGCAATGATTATTTATGACTAATCAGGCTGCTCTGCAGAAGACATATTCATGCCAATTACATGCTTCCCATTGCGTGAAATGCTTAATTAAAGTTTCCTCTATAAATATTAACATGATTGAAGTCATCTTGCTAGCAGCCACACAGAGTCATGCCAAGACCTATGTATGTCCTGGGAGGTTACTGAAACACATTTTTCTCCAACTCAGTTTGCATTAAGCCATTCTGTACGCCATGAATTCAAAGATAAAAGGTAAGTCTAAAATCCCTCATACGTAGTAAATAGAATTTTGAAGTACTTGTAGGTGGTGCAGCATAATCTCTGGCTTTCTTGGAGTTTGTTGCTAGTTCTCCTGTGCTTCCCTATAATTTAAGGATTCCATGTTTTACTGTTGTTAATATTACAGCTTGGCTGATAGAAAAGCTATTGGCAATTTGCATTCAATTATACTAACAATTATGATCAATATATGTGTAAGTACGGTTAATCTCATACCTATGGAGTCAGGAGTGACACTGTGCAGGTGAAACTGAATCTCGGTTGTAACGCACTCTAGAAGTGGACAGCATTTGTGAAGGTGGGCTAATCCAGACTGCGCAGTGGACATCATCTCTTCCGCAGATCCCTAGGAAACAGTTCCTTTCAAGTGGAAGGACTACATTGTAAGTCACATCCTGTCTGTTCACAACAATCTTAAGTTAAATGAGAACATCCACCTTTTAAATTTTTTTTGTATTTCTGAGTGCATAAGAGAAAAATAGTCTGACAGCACAAAGCCTGAAAATGTGGTTTCCTTTCAAATTATCTGCTTTGCTATTGTTTTCCTATGTAAATTTTCAGATAAGTCCTGTTTATCTTTTTTCTATCTTATTTTCCCCATTCTAACCATACTGGTATGATTAATTAGAGCTCTTAAGAGGACTGATGTTGATTCAGGTGCTTTGGGTGCTTGGATACATCCAATAATGGAAGTTGAGCATTTAAGGTAGTTAATATGACCAGTCCAATCTATGATCCTTTAAGTTCCCATGAGGCAATATTTATTTCACTAACTATGTGTGAGAAACCAACATCAGTGCACATCGCACCCAATCCAACAGGTCTTTTCTCCTGAGGTTAAACATTTCATTAAGATTACTGTAAGTGACAAATTGAGGCAAATTTTTATTTTCCTGTATTTTATTAAGGATAAAGAGCCATTTAAAGAATGTGCTTATTGTTTTAGACTTCAATATTACACTTTTAAACATAGCTCATAGCGCAGCCTAGAGGTATAGTTCATCCTGATAAAGCCAGAAGAACCTCAGGTCTAATAATTTGCCTTTGTTAAGTGAGCATATCCCATTAATGTCACACCAACAGTTATGTAATACAAGCAGGGACAATTAAACTAGGTAGATTTAAACTATTTCATTATATTGAACTATATTATGTGGTTTGTGGAAAGAACATGACATATTTAGTGTAATAATAATAATTTTCCAACACACAAGTCATTTAAATAGAGGTAGTTCTAATGATAGTCAGCAAAAGTGACTTTCCTAAAACTCTTACTCCATTTCAGTTTCACCGGCAGGATCTTATGAGGGATGACATTTCAACATCCTTTTTCATGGCCCTTGGCAGGAATAAGGTGGCATCTCATTAAGATAAGTAGAATATGCAGCAGGGAGCAGATTATGGTCATTTCTGGGAAGCTGCAGGTATGGAGAAGGTGTTCTAAGTTTTTCTACGCTTCTTGCTATTGAGAAGCTGAAAGGAGTGGAACTTGGCTTTTTTTACCTTTCCCTTCCACCCTGACGAAAAAGCACACCTATCTTAATTATGTGCATACATTACTGGTGATTTTTATAATGTTTTTAATAATATTTTACAATATCAGGAAAAACCACAGATTAAACATGAAGACAGATGAAGGAACTGGGTATCTGAAAACAACACATGGAGCCAGACATTCATTGTCTTTCTGTTGTGAGGTCTGGAATAGTGGTTCTCCCAGGTTATTTACATGACATTGTTTAGAAAACAAATAAGGAAAAGAACTGGAGTGATGTACTGGCCATTGAAAATCAATAGAGATCTGAAGTTTGGAGTAAACAGATCAGAACTTCTAAGGAATGGGCATCAAATATTAGAGAGTATCAAATTAAAGTTACAGTAGTGGTTAGACATATTTGACCTGTGAGCAGTGTGGTAATTGTTTGCAATATGGTACTTTTTAAAAGGGAAACAAAACCAGGATTCTTTTTTATGCAGAACAAACACAGGGTACAGAGGAATTGCTTCCTACTGTCTTCTTTTCAAGGTATATAAAGGAAGAGACACTTGCAAATAATAAATTTGACCTCTTTTTATCCTTCTATAGGGAGAAACCAAGAACTTATGAATTCTTGCTGTTTGGTACCTGCAGAGGCACTGAACTGTATTGTTCAGGTTATTGTAGCAATAGCATGGATTGTCATTATGTACAAAATATGAAGCACTTTTTCATCCTTATCCTCTTCCTTCACAAATATATATATTTAAACATTGTGCATTCACAATATATCTTTAAGAGATGTTGTCTTGAAAAGAATGGAAATGACAGATAATGCAAAACCTCTTTATAAAAGCAGATGCAAATTTTTCTTCATAATACTTGAGAATGTTCTTCTCTAGCTGAAAGATATGAGGCCTGTGAATACAAAATGACCTTTTTTTATGAACCTTTACAGTGGGGATTTGAAACCTAAGATAAAAATGGTTCATTCCGATTCTTCATGTTAGAGATAATCTTCACAGAGTTATAGTTTACTTTTTACTTCTAAGGTAGAAGCTGTATGCTTTCCCTTGGCGGGGGGGAAAAAAAATATAGCAGCCACTTAATAGTTTCCACTTACACCAGTCTAGAAGTGTGGATCTGTCTCAATCAATATTTTCCCCACAAGCAACCATGACAGGGGTTACTCTGGGTATAAACATATACTATATTTTTCTATTTATTATGTAGGGAAAAACAAGGCATGATAATATTGCTTACCTGCTTTGACAGAAAGCAGCTGTCCCTAGAAAGGTAACAACCATTCTGATTGCAGTAATTAATTTCATCTTGATAGATCCAGTATTTGAATTTCATTAGACTATGCATTATGTATGGTCCAGAATACTGTAAAAATTAAATGGGCAGAGAATGTGATTTTTTGAAATAAATGTGTCTGTATACCTATTTATGTCAAGAAGTCATGCAGGAAACAAAATGATAAAATTGTTTTCCGACATGAGTACAAAGAAAATGTATTAGTATTTTTACCTTTAATTTTTTTTTATTCTTTTACTGAAGGAAAGCATTTTCCATGCTGAATGTAGATATTCCTGATTTATCCTTCTGATATTAAATTGAAATAATATAATGTTCTCTGAGATGAAAGACTACAATGGAATAGAATAGTTTTGTACCTAACAGCAAATAATCACAATTCAGCTTGTAAAAAATTTCGATATATCTTTGCCTAAATTTTTAATTATTAATGAAACACACAAATAGTTGAAAAAGCCAGCTAGCCAAGCATCTATGCCAGTGAGATTTTTGTCTGTATATTTTTACAAGATATCATACTATCAGAAACACTTTCACTTGGCTCTAATAAGTGCTTTAATAGCAGATGTAGTTCTTATTATCAGACAGAACAGGTGGCAGTTAATTCAAGGGAGTTATGAGAGTAAGAGATCTCTCTCTGGGATAAAATAGTGTATATAGGGGAAAGACAGGTTAAGGCTATGTCTCCATTTGCAAATAGTGTAGCTTAATAGAAGTGGACTGTACAGAGAAACAGTTGGCCCTGAGGACTTGTTAGATGTATTATAATCATCTTAGAGGTGTTATGAAATAGATCTAGTCTGGTATGCTTCTAGACTCTATTTCCTAGTTTAGTTTTATACAAAAGGTGTGTGATGAGGGCACCTTCAGGCCACTTCACAATGCCAACCAAAGTGGTAAGAACAATGTTTACTTCCAAAGTGCAGTCTTCATCTTCTCTAAAATGCTAGTGTAGACACACCTTCTGTTTCAGTTTTCAGAGTGTGCTGTCTAGACCTGATTATTGATGCTCTGTAAAACTGGGACACATGGATGTTAATTTACCAGAAGAAACTGCTAATCATATAATATTTTTATGAGAAGGCAAAGAAAACCCAATAAAAGTAAAGGTTCAATTTTTCTCTAGAAAACGTGACTTTATTGGGTAACTTCCAAAAACATAAAATAAACTGAAGAAATTAACTCTGCTATAAAAAAAAATCTTGAACTGTGATTATCTTTAGTTTACATATTTAATTTCAGTATGCAATCATTCAGGTCTTTGCCTATACTTGTGGATCTAACTAGGATCTATGGGTCCAGACAAAAAGATGTGAAAGTGTCTTACGCTGTGGTTGATAATGATATCTTTCAAAGTAGATGCTATGGCTGTTCAACACAAGACTGTATTTGAGAATTCACCTTCCTTCAGTGGGTTTTCTGGATGACAACTCATCTGGACCTCATTAGGTTTATGGGATCAAGTTTTCATTCTCTGTATCTACAGCAAAATAAGAAAATCTATAGGTCTTGCAGGTACGACTGTATAATTGTTCATATTTCATTGGTTCTCTTTACTCACTATCATGTTTAATGTTGACCCTGAAGGTTTCTGTATGGTAAAGTCACCTATATGTGCACCAGCCAGCAGTACATAAAGAGATTTCCTCCTGGTGGGGTAGACAGAACAAGGTCTTGCTCAAACCCCACAGCATTTTTATTATATGCAGATGTGCCCTTTAAGTTAAAATCTACAACAGGCACACAAGTTTAATTGGCTTTGAATTTAGAAAAATGTAATCATAGGTACGCTTATACCTCTAGACTCTGGGAATATTATAAAACTGTTAAAGGTTTTCTACAGATAAGGCATACACATCTCTAAGGCTGATCTTGGATATTTTCTCCTACTACTAGAAAACCCCAAAAAACTTCTGTCTTGAAGTTTCTACTTCACTGTAGGCAAAGTGGCATGCCTTCTTCAAGCCTCAGGCAAATGCCAAAAGTTGATTTTTAGATGTGGCATTATGAACAAAGAAGTCCTCAAAATGAAAGTATTTTGATTTTTTTTTTAAAGAGCTCAGTTTTTCCAATTTAAATACAAACCTTAATTTCAGTGTGCTTGAGTCAGTGCCAGTCCCATTTACTATAGTGCCTCCAGAGGCCTTGTCTAAAGCCAGAATGATCATCTGGCAATTAAAAACAAATAATATAGCCCAAACCAAGACTACATGTTTTATATGCAGAATATGAAAATGGTTGTATATATACTAAAATCTTTAATTGAAAACTGTTTTCATAGAATCATAGAATGGTTTGGGCTGGAAGGGACCTTAAAGATCATCTAGTTCCAACCGCCCCTGCCATGGGCAGGGACACCTACCATGAGATGAAGTTTCTCAAATCCCCGTCCAGCCTGGCCCTGAACACTTCCAGGGAGGGGGGCAGCCACAGCTTCTCTGGGCAACCTGTGCCAGTGTCTCACCACCCGCACAGGGAAGAATTTCTTCCTTATATCCAATCTAAATCTACCCTCTTTCATTCTAAAACTGTTAGCCCTTGTTCTATTACTACACTTCCTGATAAATAGTCCCTCCCCATCTTTCCTGTAGGCCCGCTTTAAGTATTGGAAAGTCTCTAAAAGGTCTCCTTGGAGCCTTCTTTTCTCCAAGCTGAGCAATCACAACTCTCAGCCTGTCCTCCTAAAGTAAGTTCTCCAGTCCCATGATCATCTTTGTGTCCCTACTCTGGTCCTGCTTGAGCAGGTCCATGTCCTTCTTATGTCAGGGGCCCCAGAGCTGGACACAGCACTGCAGGTGGGGTCTCACGAAAGTTGAGTAGAGAAGGAGAATCACCTCCCATGACCTACTGGCTACGCTTCTCTTGATGCAGCCCAGGACACAGTTGGCTTTCTGGGCTGTGAGCAGAGATTGCTGGCTCATAGTCAATTTTCCGTCCACTAAGACTCCCAAGTCCTTCTCCACAGGGCTGCTCTCAATCCATTCTCTGTCTAGCCTGTATTTGTGTTTGGGATTGCCCTGACCCATACGTAGGACCTTGCACTTGGCCTTGCTGAACTTCATGAAGTTTGTATGGGCCCACCTCTCAAGCCTGTTCAGGTCCCTCTGGATGGCATCCCTTCCCTCCAGCGTGTTGACTTCACCACACAGCTCAGTGTCATTGGCAAACTTGCTGAGGGTGCACTCAATCCCACTGTCCATGTCACCAACAAAGGTGTTAAACAGCACTGGTCCTAGTACTGACCCCTGGGGAACGTCACTTGTCACTGCTCTCCACTTGGACATTGAGCTGTTGACCATAATGCTTTGAGCGCAAGCATCCAGCTAATTATCCACTGAGTGGCCCATCTATCAAATCCATCTCTCCAATTTAGAGACAAGGGTGCTGTATGGGACAGTGTCAAATGCTTTGCACAGTTAGATGATGTCAGTTGCTCTTCCCTCATCCCCAAGTGCTGTAACCTCACTGTAAAAGACCACCAAATTTTTCAGGCATGATTTGCCCTTAGTGAAGCCATGTTGGCTGTCACCAATCACCTCCTTATTTTCCATGTGCCCTAGCATAGTTTCCTAGCTAGGCACAGAGATAAGACTCACTGTCCTGTAGTTCCTTGGGTCTTCCTTTCTTCCCTTTTTAAAAATGTTTTTAAAGTTTTAAACTTCATTTTTTCACATATGTTGTTTTGGAAAGTAAACTCAGTAAAAGGTATGTTAATGAGCTATATTCACTGTTTTTAAGCACAAGTCCACAGATATATGGTGTTGTATCTACAAAACGATTATGTTTTTCTTGTTGATAACTTGTAAGTTAGTAAAATATTCTCAAGAAATAGCAAATAAGAGCTTCATAAATATTTATGTGGATTCTTGGTGCAGTATTGCAATTTAAACAGTGCTATTAGTACATAGTTTTTCTATTGTTTTCCACTGACTGTATTAAAAACAAGACTACTAAATATATTAAAAGTAAGACAATGTTGCTTTGATGAACTAGACATTTCTTAAAAAAAAAGATAAATTTGGTGTATTTCCAATTGACACAAAATTCCAGCAAGCTAGATATTCTGGTTTAGTTGCTTTGTATGGTGTGGAAATTGTAAGGTTTATGGTATTTTGGGGTATGAGTAATATCATTAGAGACTGGACCGTCTTTCCTATGAAGAGAGGCTAAGAGAGCTGGAGAACTGTTTAGCCTGGAGAAGCAAAGGATCAGAGGTGGTTATCTATGTGTATAAATGTCTCATAAGAGGATGTAAAGAGGAGGGAACCAGGCTCTTCTCAGTGGTATCCAGTGAAAGGAAAAGAGGCAATGAGCACAAAATGAAACACAGGTGAACAGAAGAAAACATGTTTATACTGTGAAGGCAGTCAAACAATGGAACAGGTTGCCCAAAATGTGACTGGACACAGCCCTGAGCAACCTGCTGTAGGTGATCCTGCTTGTACAGGTGATTGGACCAGGAGATTTCCAGAGGTCCTTGCCCACCTCAACAATCCTGTGACTCTGTGATCTTCTATCTCTGGTGCATGATCATGTATATGATGGATATTGACCAATTATAGAAATGACCTACAGTTCAGGTAAATTTAACGCTTCCCCTGGTTACTGCTGCGAGGCGCTCAAATTTTTTGAAGAAGTCAGTTAGTATTATAATAATATAGCTATATGAAGATTGGAAAGTCATGACCTGTAAGATCTGGGAACTGCCGAAGGACACATCAGACGTGAGGTTTGTATGTTGCCCTTGTGTCACCAATTGTGATGTGGTAGAACTTTGCTGCATGCTCAGGCAGAAGCTGCTGCCTGTGGCTTAAGGGCAGGTCACCAGAATGGCAGCATTGATATGCAGAGCCCTCTGAAACCCAGAGTTCTGCTTTTGCTACATCAGGACACTTACAATCATGGGCATCCTAAACATTCTCCTATCTTTTCTGTTTGCCATGTTGTCTGGAATGATCCTCATTTTGGGCTTGATTGTTGTGTTCTGCATCCTGCTTTTCAGTATCAGACTTACTCTTACTCTTGGTGAAATTAAGATAGTCACCACGTTCAGTAAATCAGGGATGAACATTGAATATTACATCTATAATCTAGTCACCAAACCAAATGCAACTCAAGTAGTCATTGAATTTGATAAAGGCGATTTGCTAACCAAACTGGCAAAGAAGATTGCTTCTGATTACAATGTGGTGGGTACCAGAATGTATTATTATTATTATTGATTACTTTTATTATCACTATTATATTTTTTTATTATTATTATTACTATTACTATTACTATTTCATCATCATCATCACTATCACCATTATAAATTTTAATTTTGTTGTTGTTCCATGGTCAATTTAAAGTGGAATTTAACTCTAATTTTAATTAATCTTGATAGGTAAGAAAAAGGGGTAGAGCTACTGAAAGCACTGAAGTTAAGAATATTACTTGATATAAGTTGTTTGTAACAATTATGACCTGAGTTCTAGAAGTACCTAAAAATATCTTATATTAATTATAGATGAATAGTTCTATAGTTCTACAGATCTCTAGTTCTATTTGCAAATAGTTCACCAGGTTTGAGAAGAAAGGGATTTGGAAGTGTTCAGACAGATATACATCTTCAAGGACATTAGTCAGTTCTAAGTTATGTAAAAGATGTTTTATGTTTCTTTTTGAACCTGGCAGTGTTGAAAGATGGCAAAACAATAATATACATAAAGGCAACATGAATTGCTTCCACTTACAAGTCCTTTTTTTGTTACTTTTTGTTGTTTTGTCATTTTTGTTCTCTTTTTATGTTAGTGGTATAAATTTTTTTTTATTTATTTGATAACTCTATAAATAAAATAGGACATCTGAGTTATTCTACAGGCATTTGATATGGTGTTGACTTGAAAACTCTGTATACCCCTACAGAATTGGCTTGTTTCCCTATCAGTATTTCTACCTTTGGTGACATTCTAAATGAAAATAATTTTGAAAACAAGAGAATACTGTTTTTTTCTGTGAGTTGTGACTTAGTCCAATAGCATTCAGGAAAAGTTTAGGGTTTGCTTGTGCAATATGAACGATAATTAGAATGGTGAAATTTGAATTTGGAGTTGGTGTTTCTATGTCTCTGAATATGGGGGTGGGCCTGACAAGGTAGAATCAGTTTGTATATTTAAAGGTAAAACATTTATAATGGATGGAATTACTCTATGCTAACTTCATGTTATGTATTTTTATGTGTATGTATACATATACATACATAGGTATACCATGTATGTGTGTATATATATTGGAACAGGGCTTTTTTAGATGACAGGCTAATCTATCCTGTTTAATTCAGCTCTAGAATTTACTTCTTTTTTTTCTTTTTTAGTTTTTTCAAAACAGATGCTTATCTGCTCCTTATGATCATCCCTCCATATATCTGCTCTGTTTTTCCTCCTTTTATTTTAGTTGCTCTCTGTATGTTACTAGTTTCTGGGTGGAAAAAAAAATGTATGGCAATGTTTTTATTGTCAACATTTTTGTCCAAGTT